AAGTGGGTCGCTGGGCTGTGCAGATTTTTTTTTTTTAATTTCAAGATTTTCCTTAATTTCCCACCTAAAGCCTCCCCGCGGTAGGGCCGCATCCCCCGTAATAAAATGAATTCTGATTCGAGCTCTGTCTCCAGCAGAGCTTCATCGCCGGACATGGATGAGATGTATCTGAGGGAACACCACCACCGCCACCACCACCACCAGGAGAGCCGTCTCAACTCGGTCTCCTCCACGCAGGGCGACATGGTGCAGAAGATGCCCGGGGAAAGCCTCTCGCGGGCCGGCGCCAAGGCCACCGGCGAGAGCAGCAAGTACAAAATCAAGAAGCAGCTGTCGGAGCAGGACCTACAGCAGTTGAGGCTGAAGATCAACGGTCGGGAGCGCAAGCGGATGCACGACCTAAACCTCGCCATGGACGGGCTTCGAGAGGTCATGCCCTACGCGCACGGGCCCTCGGTGCGCAAGCTCTCCAAGATCGCCACTCTCCTGCTGGCCAGAAACTACATCCTCATGCTCACCAGCTCCCTGGAGGAGATGAAGAGGTTGGTTGGCGAGATCTACGGGGGCCACCACTCTGCCTTCCACTGCGGGACCGTGGGCCACTCGGCCGGCCACCCCGCGCACGCCGCCAACGCGGTGCACCCCGTGCACCCCATCCTGGGCGGCGCGCTCTCGTCCGGCAACGGCTCGTCGCCGCTGTCCGCCGCCTCGCTGCCGGCCATCGGCACTATTCGACCTCCCCACTCGCTGCTCAAGGCGCCCTCCACGCCGCCCGCGCTGCAGCTGGGCAGCGGCTTCCAGCACTGGGCCGGGCTGCCCTGCCCCTGCACCATCTGCCAGATGCCGCCGCCGCCGCACCTTTCCGCTCTCTCCACCGCCAACATGGCTCGGCTGTCGGCCGAGTCCAAGGACTTGCTCAAGTGAGCAGAGGACGGCCCGGCAGCTGCCCAGGATGAGGGGAGAGAGGCGGGAGGGACTGCGGTGTCGGGCCGGGAGGGGAGAGGGAGGCTGAGCACTCGCTCGGCCGGCGGGAGGGTGAGCGCGGGGTCCCGCGGCCTCCCACTCCGTCGGAGATCTCAGACTCCGCTTGACCTCCCGGAGGGAAAGGACCAAAACCAAACTGCAATTTCTAGGTGGTAACGAAGGGGGACTCGAACCAGACTTCGTGTGTTTTGCATGCATGCTTCTTTTCCCCATGCCGCGCCAGTGCTTCTCACTTACATAGGCTCTTGTCAAAACTGCATTCGTTGTGTAAAGACGGGATCGGTGTGGTCAAAAACTTGCGAAGGGACTTTAGAGTTGGCTTTCTCTGGCTCTGTGTTCTCACCTTGGAAAAGACAACATCCCTTTTGTGCAAAAACAGATGTAAATATTTCCTGGAGATGGATGCAATTACGATTGTCACTATCTCTCCGCAGTTGTTTTTCTAGAGACGTTGAGAGAGAGAGAGAGAGAGAGAGAGAGAGAGAGAGAGATCAAGACCCAAGTTTTGAATCTCAACCCCGGTCCAGGGCATGACATCTCTTATGTGGGTTTTCCTTAAGACGCAGTGTAGGTCAAAAGAATGCATGCAAGCTTCTAAATGAATCTTCTCGAAACATGTTGTGCAGGCCATGATGCCATTTTCCTTGTAACAAGGATTTATTAGTGAATTCTCCGAAGTATCCATATATCTGTCTGTGGTTGTATGAAATGAAAAAAAGGGGGCAGAGTGCAAAGACCCAAACTCACGCACAAGCGCTTCTTCCCCCACCCCACCCCCTCTGAACTCCATTCCCAAACTCCATCCCAAGGCTGTTCTAGGGGCCAGCTATTGCCAGAGCCTGGGCTCCCTCTACTAGCTTGCCCCATCCCCCCCTCCCCCCTTGCTCAGCGATTCTGCATGCGGGGTTGGCTCTCTCTATCATCAGCTTTGAAAAGTTATCATGGTTTGGGGAGGGGTGCCGTTTTTATTTTCCTGAACATTTGCTTGAAATATTTTGTTAGGGCCTCAAAGACAATACCTGTCTTTATTTTTTATATATTCTTGATAACTATGATATATTTATTAATAACCAGTGTTTCTGGATGAGATTTCAAATAAAAAAGAACCTTTAAATCCTGGCTTTGCCTTTGCCTAAGATTTTTGAAGATGGGGGTAGTGGGTAAGGAATACGTGGACCCAGTAAGGTGTACCTGGCAGTGGGTGAGAGATTTTGAGTGGGTGGGCAGATACAAAGACTTTTCTCTGGTCTTTCACAGGTTAAAAAGGTCAGATAAATTGGTGTTAATTATTACAACCAGATGTCTTTCAGTTAGGAGCATTGTCCACACTGGTAGCCTTGTGATATTTGAGCTCCTTATTTCTCTGCAGTAATCAGGCGCTCATAAACTCAGCAATTGAGATTTTAAAAAAGTAATCTGAAAACCCAGAGTGACAGGAAATGTGAGGCAGTGGCCGCACCGCTGTGTTGACAACTGGCAGGAACGAAGCAGTAAGTTAAGTTCTTTTCACTTTATGGTGGCCGTGTGGCCTTTGAAAAAAAAAATAAGCAGGTTAAAATCCACTATATGTTTGAAAAGTCCACGAAGAGGGCGTCCTAGAAAATAATCAAGTACCCACACTTCCCCCTGCCCCCTGGGCAGTGGGCCCCGGAGAGAAAGGGAAGGCCACGCCGCTTTGTAAGGTGAGCTCAGGATGAGGCCAACCACTTCTTAAGTCCTAGCATCTGGAAGATTTATAGCAGTAATTCTCCCTTCTTGCCTCCGTTAGATTGCAGGTCTGATTAGATGAAAACATTGGGCATCTTCTACATAAATGATGGCTAAAACAGGGGTCATTTTAACCAATTCCTTCCCTCTCTTCATCCCTCACCAATTCCGTAACACTTCCAAATAGTTTGTACAAGCAAAAGTAATCCAGCAAGAGGGTTTTGTTTGTTTGTTTGTGCAGGACACGGAATCAAGTCCTAGTGATGGTGACTCCCATGGCAGAAACCTGTATTTCTCACTAAGGAAAAATGGAAACCTGACTGAAATATACCACCTCGGAATTGGTCTCTGGGTTAGATGTAACATCACCGGCAGCTGGTTGAGGCTTAAACTCCTCTTCAAGAGGGGAAGCTGATGGTTTTCACCGCAGAGCAACAGAGCTGTCTCTCCCCAGGATCCGGCAGGGAGAGCACATCTAGGAATTTTCTGCCCTTTCCTCCCTAGGCTCCCCACTGCCTGCCCTTGGGAGGGCATCTCTGTGGGTCCCGGTTCTACTGAACTCAGTCTCCTCCAACTCCCCCATCCCCTCAAGCTCCCCCACTGCCAGGGAGAAAGACCAAAGTGAGGGTCTCCAGTGGAGGCTGCTTATTTCCCCTGGTTTTCGGCAGACAAATGGGGGAATAATCGTCTGTTTCCCAAGTGTGATTCATTTCTCTGGGTGAGGAAAGAGCTGTTGAGGATTTATCTGAAACCAACACAAGGCAGCCCTCCAGCCTTTCCGGGTGAGCTTATTATTTAAAAAGGGGAGGGAGGGAGAAGTTTCATCAATCAGGAAAACGACTTTCCCCTGAGCTACTTGCTTCTTTGGAGTCCCGTTTCCAAAGGCCTGGTCTTGGGGGAAGACCACAGCAGCGCTGACCACTGGCTTCGAGATGAGCTTCATCCCTTCTCTAGAGCTGAAGCTTAAAGGAGAAAAGCCACACTCCTTACACCAGGGAATGGTGAATTTTGAGGTGGTGCTGCCTGTCCAATCCCTTTAGATACATCCGGTGGTCAATTTAAAGAGCCGTTAAGGTCTATTTTCGTGGGAAACTACACTCAAGGAACCACCAAGGCGAGGGAATCCTATCTTGAATTATCCAACCGAAGCAGGAAGGAGACACTGCTTCCAACGTTGGGAAGTTCCCCTAGCCAGGCTGAACTCCTCTGTTACAAAAACTCCTTTGGGCTAGAGACTGGGAGGAAGGATTCCTTTAAGAACAGGACAGGAACTCACGGAGAAAAATGATTTGAGAGCCAGATTGTTTGGATTTTCTTGATTCTTCGGGAAGAAACATTAGCCACCGGCCTCCAGGGAAAGGTCTTGTCCCCGAGCAAGCTGGTCCGCTTGGGGATGTGACTTTGCAGGTGACTCTTGCCTGCAATTCCCGTTAAATTCGCGAATTACTGACGCCAACAGCGAAAGTATATGTCCGCCAAGGTGAAAAAAGGTTCTTGACCCGATTTCCCCCCCCTTGTAAATTTGCCCCTTTCTCGAAAGTTCTGAAGTCTAAGGCGGTTTTTAATTCAATCTAGAAACGCGACAAGGATTCCTTCATTCCAGAAATCGCATTTAAAAGAACAGAGAAATGAAATCCTCCTGGGCGGTGATAGCTTGAGGAGTCCTGCACTCTATAAAAGCCTCGCGGGTCTTTAAGCAGGTGGCCGAACTTTAAGGGCGGGAGAAAGTCACATTTAGAAAGGGAAAGCATGCCGGCTTTAGCTGGGTACAGTAGAACTTTATTTCTAAGGAACACAGCTCCCTTCCCAAGGTTCTGGGACCTTGGGTTTATATCTCCAGGAAGGGCTGGGGGAGGCGGCCCAAGGTTTCCTAACTCCTACAGGAAGAGGACTTGGGTGTCTTCAAACTTTTTTTTCCTCCTAAGTGGCTGGGTCAAGCGAAGATTCATAGCCTCCACTGACACCCTTAGCGGAAATTGCAAAAGCCCGGATTCTCTGAGCGTCTCGCTCAGCCAACAAGATTTAACTGCCTCTCCAGGTCTCTTCTGGGAACTCTGGGCCCCACTCTCGTCCTCCCACCTCCCGTCTGAAGGGTGGACTCCCAACCTGCCCCCCCCCCCCCCCCCCCCCCCCCCCCCCCCCCCCCCCCCCCCCCCCCGCCTCGCTCCCGCCTCTCTGCCGCCCTTGGGCGCTGGGGACAGGCCTCGGGGCCTGGGCACCGGTGGAACCTCGGCGACCCCGTGGGCGCCCCAGCAGAAGCTCAGCCTCACCCCTCCCCGGCTCTGGAGGTATCCAGAGCTGCAGGAGTTAGTCCCTGGCTCGCAGGGTCCCAGTCCCTGCATCTCTCCCTCGGACCCTTGTCCCGAGGCCACCCCATGCCCGCGGCTCTCGGCCGGAGCAGGAAAGGGGAGTAGTGAGGAGGGGACGTCGGGACCAGGCGCCGACCTAGGCCGCCGGGGAGGTGGGCGGCTCCTGGTTAGCTCGCCCCGCTCCGCCCAGGCTTGGGGAGCTCAGCTAGAGCAGGAGGCGCGGCAGAAGGGCGCTGGAAGCGTCCTCGGAGAGAAGTGGGCCGAGGTGGGGCGGCAGGTGAACTAGACGCACCCTCTTCTTCCGCCTGCTTCTCCGCAAACCCGCAGGAGAATGGGCGTCCCTACCTCTCCACCTCGCAGTTTCTGAGCCTCTCCTGTACCCACTTCCCTGACAAGCAGGGTTTGGGAGGAGCCCAAACCGGAAGGTTCAGGTCTACGGCATCGCTTTTTAGTGGTGTGTCCGTTTTCAGTGAACCCTTCCCGGGGAGGCGAGGTCGCCGGGCTGCGAGGGGGCCAGCGAGGGTGGGTGCGGGGAAGGGCGCGGGGAAGAGGGCGAGAGCAGTGGCGACCTCGGGACCCGCTCGGGGCCAGACTCCCGCGGTGCCACCCACCCGCTGGGCGCGTGGCCCCTCCCTCCGCGCTCCTGCACCGGGTGGCGATGAGCCACGAGCCCAGCCGGCGTCAGGGCCCCGCGCTGCAGAAACTGTCCCGGAACTTTGCATCAGGTTCTGGGGCCTCACGCAGAAGGGGTCGGCGCCGAGACTACAGCTTGTTCAGGTTGGGGCCTCGTCTCGTGGGAAGTGACAGTCCCCGCGCCCTGACCTCCGACTCTGGCAGGCTGAGGGAGCCGGGGGCACAGGTAACAAAAGGCAGATAAACGAGGGAGGGACGTCGCCGAGCTAGGCCCAACCCAGACGGCGCCAA